ATAACACATATTAGCAAATATTCAGCGATGGAGAAGCCGACAACAATGGAGAAGCCGAGAAGAGAACTGGAGAAGAGAGCGAGGGAGAAGAGACAGCGATGGAGAAGCCGAGAAGAGAGTCAATCGAGAGAGAGAGTAGCGATGGAGAAAGCAGAAATTTCAAAAGTATAAAAAAAAACCTAATTTTGACTAATATTGTTAAGTCAAATATTTTTAATTAAAAAGGCGGCGCCGTTTCTGTCGCCGTTTCTGTCGCCGTTTCTGTCGCCGTTTCTGTCGCCGTTTCTGTCGCCGTTTCTGTCGCCGTTTCTGTCGCCGTTTCTGTCGCCGTTTCTGTCGCCGTTTCTGTCGCCGTTTCTGTCGCCGTTTCTGTCGCCGTTTCTGTCGCCGTTTCTGTCGCCACACCTCGCCATACTGATCTCGCCTCACCTCAGTAGAGAATGGCGAGGACCCATCGTCTCGCCTTGCCTCTCGGCGAAGGCCTTTTGTAACACTGATTTCACCCTTCCCATTTAGCTTAAATTCTTGATGAATGAATAATTTATAATAGGAAACATGCAGCTCATAATTCATATATAAACTTTTTCTTCAAAAGGGTAATTTGTATATATGACAGCTGATAATTTATATATAAACTTTTCTTCAAAAGGGTAATCTGTATATATGACAATAAAGAAATTAAAGAACCTTTATCACAATCCAAAAGTAAGTTTCTCATCAAAGGAAACCTGTGCATCTCTAACAGCAAGAGAACAAAGAACCTTACAAACAAGTTAGAGTCTCTATGTCTCTTCCTCTAATGAACATCATATATGTGTATCCAGTATAATGGATCCATACATTACAATACAATATAATGCAATCCATTATGAAACAATTTGTAATAATTAACCAAACAAAGTGTTAAGTCAGGTTACTCCATTCAAACTCACCCAATATTTACATAATTAGAGCACGGCAAGTAAATGATAAATATGCATGATAGAATCAAGAGCTACCTGCCCAGTACGAGCTCGACCAACCAAATCACATCCATCAAGAATATCATCAAAAGTCATAGCTTGAATAGGAAAAAGTGCTTCTATTCCCTTAGAATTCAAAGCCTCTTTTAAAGGCTTTGAAATCCTAAAATTAGACAAAGCATTAGGATCCTCGACTTTCTTCTCAACCATCACTTGTTCGTCGTCGAATTTAGCCTTTTTATTCTTCTTCAAATCTACGGGCTCGCATATCTCTGAGCTCGTATCACTCTTCTCACCATCCAAGTCCAAAGCTTTTCTCTTTTTCTCTTTCTTTTTACTCCTTTTAGCGTCCTCTGAATCAGACCCAGACTCAATCTTGGATTTTTTTGACTTTTTCTCTTTGGTTTTCTTATCAGTAGGAGTTTCAATATCAGTTTTGGGTGTCTTCTTCATTTTTTTCTTGGATAGCTCGGAGGCCATTGTTTCTTCAGTTACAACAAGTGCAGGCATGATGACTTTGTTTGTAGGGGGAATTGCTCTCCTGCCGAAAACGGTGTATTCTGCAGTTAGGCGCAGAAGCAGGAGCGAAAGAGGAGGAGGCTGGGTTTAGGGTTTGAGATTTTATAGGGGTGTTGATGAAAGCTGATTAAAGCAATCTTAACCGTCCGATTTAATAAAGAGATTTTTTATGGACATTTTGGAGTGAAAGTCGGTTTTAGGGCGACAAACAATTAATTAGACTAGCCGCTCATATGGAATTAAATTAATTTTGATTTAGATACTTTTTTAATTACATGATTGAGTTGTATGTAATTTTGATTTAATCGAAATTTATATATTGGTACAAATGTAATTTGGAGTCCACTATTTATTGTTAGTATATATGTAGTATAGGTTTAGGGAAAATTACGCAATAAAGTAAATTTGTACTGGTCAATAACTCATCATAGGTATAATTTGTTGTAATTATCAATCGCTACTAACATTATAAATTAATTATCCGGCGTGACTTTTAATTAGTATAATTAGTCATGTTTATAGATGTATAATTCGCCAGAATGTACAAATACATATGTATAATATACAATTATGTAACCTATATACCTATACAATTCACCTCTCTCCCACTCTTTGCCCTCTCTCGCTCGCCTCTCTCCTCCCTCTCCCAATCTCGTTTGTCCTATATATAAATGTATATGTATAATATACAATTATATACATATACAATTCACCTCTCTCCCACTCTTTGCCCTCTCTCTCACCTCTCTTCTCCCTCTCTCGATCTCGCTTGCCTCTCTCCTCCCTCTCCTAGTCTTGATCGCCTCTCTCCTCCCTCTCTCAATCTCTCTTGCTATATATACAAATATATATGTATAATATATAATTATCTAACCAATATACATATACAATTCACCTTTCTTCCACTTTTTCCCCCCTCTCTCGCCTTTTGCCTCTCTTTCCCAGTCCCGTTCAGCTCTCTCATCCATATAACATGTAGCAACAAATTGTATATCAAACTATAGCTATGAAAAATAATTAACTATTTTTAAGTGGCTATATGTGAAAGTTTCTCATAAATTTATTCTTATTTTTAGCGCAACAAACTGAAAAATTGAACAAAAAAGTCATAAAAATTGGATAAGCCCATTAAGCAGACTCAACTGAAAAAAATCGAATTTAATAGTCTGAAATCAAATTGCACTAAATTACAAATAATTGGATCGAATTTAATTAATTTGATTCAATGTTCAATCGAAAATCAGAAAAATCAAAATAAAAAAATCAAAACAAGATCGAAATAAACCCTAAGTTATAGATTTAAAATAATATTTTCAAAGTTATTTTACTCCTACGGTACTTGAAAGAGTTTTTGTTTAATCTTATTCAAACACTACAATAGGGTGCGGTTCTTTTTTTTAATTATTATGTCTAAACAAGCATAAGATGAAAGTTGTGAAAATGAGGATGGTGTGCAGATATACTAATAGGCAAGAACTATTCGATCTGTTACATATTAGTTATTCGATCTGTTCCATATTAGTTGATGATTTTACTAAAATTAATTGTCTCATATTAATTGTCCACCTTACTTAATCAAGAAAATATTGATTAATTTTTTCTATATCGTCTTTGAATTAATTTTTTCTAAACGTGTTCACATTTGTTTGTAAAATTGTCAAGAATTTATTTAACGAGTGAATTAGTAAAATTGTTTTCTTATATATGATTTCTTAATATACATGTAAAAAGAGAAAATAATCAACTAATGTGGAACACATGGACTGTGAAATTAGAAATGAAGATATTCAAGTCAAGGTGAGTGTAGCCTTCATTGTGGACAAGGAGTAAAGTGAGGATGAGATAGTTTAGGTATTTGAAGAGGAGATGTGCAACTGCTCTAGTAAGAAGGTACAAAATGTTGGGTATGATGGGTATAAGTATGTCGAAAAAGTACAAAATGTTGGGTATGATGGGTATAAGTAGGTTGAAAAAGTACAAATTGTTGGGTATGATGGGTATAAGTAGGTCGAAAAAGTACTAAAGAAAGGTTGATTTAGAATGAAGATGACGGAACTCTAGTCTGCCAAGGACATGACCTTAGATAGAGAGGAAGAGTAGCAGATAGTAGTGTGTTGTCTTGATGTTCATCCGTTCATATTAGTAATGTGTTGCTCATGTAGTTTTTTATCCTAATTCATTTGATGTCACTATTTATTGATTCTTTGTGCCTCGACTATTGTATTGTTTTTGTTTTTGTTTCTTGTTTCTTGTACACTAGTCACTCCTTTGTTTTCGACCTAGTTTACCTCAAGTCAATGGTTCATTAAAAACCTCCTTTACGTTTTAATATTCCAAACTTTCAGACGCATTTTGGTTCGTTGGCTTATTTTTTTTCTATCTTCTTCCTTTTCTTGTTACGTACACAGACTAGACAAAAATAATACAGAGATTATATATAAATATACATTGTATACTATTACTAGGTATATAATAATTAGGTTTACAAAAAAGAGGGGATTATCATAATAAAGTGTATAATAAGAGTATTCTTTACATACAAATTATTTTTGAAAAAATATAGAGAGATTATATACGTGTATACATCGTAAATGGGTCAAGAAAGAGGGGGTCGCTGTTGACTTGACAAGCTATAAAATTGAACACTGAATTATGCGAAAGCTCAAAATAATGAGCATGGCTAAAGTCGGGAGTCCATTCCATTTTTTCTTTGATCAACTTTTGTTATTCATTTGATACAAGTAATTATTAAAAAAGAATAGTGATAAAAGTTGAAAATAAAAGATTTGGTGATTGACAAATTGATAAGATTTACAATTTTTTCTTAATTGCTACATTTACCTATGTCATTAGTGATATAAACATGATTTTCTCCTTCTATAAATAGAAAATTCTTGCTCATTTGTAGAGTACATCAAGTTAGAGAGAATGAATACACCAAGTTAGAGAGAAAAAACCATTTTGAGAGTAATATGAGGTATTCCATAGATTATACAAGAAAAATAAAATGTGAGCGTTATTTTAATAAGGTGAAAATCAAAAGAGTGTTATTTCTTTTGAATCACTTTGACTATTGTATTGGTGACTACACGGTGTAAAATTCTTTACTATGGTGATATCAGTTGCTCCTCTTGGCCTATTATTTTTCCCTTATTTAAAAAGGATTTCCACATAGAATTTTAGGTGTCATTATTTTTTCATTTTATTTATATCGTTTGACTATATATATTTTTGTGTTTGTTTGCGTTTTCCCAACATAAAGTTCTGAAAATAAAATAGTCTTTATAAAGACTATGAGACACTAGTATGTTTTCTTCATATTTTTGGATATTTTCCTCAGCATGCCCTTTTATTATTTTTGCGTTCAAAATTTGAAAGAACATATAAATATTAATCAAATTCATTTGTTGATTATATACTTTTTCTTGCTTAATTTGCAAAGCTAAGTGAATTTCTTTTCCAACCTTCAGTACTTTGCTAAGCACTTGAGCTTGATTGTGTGCTAGAAAGATTGATGCCTTCGTTTCCAATTTCCATTTATCTGATCAAGCAGCAACAACAACAACAACTAAATAAACCTCGATCCAAAGTAAGTTGGAATCGACTATTAATCATCACTATACATTTCGTTCCATTTAGACTCGTCTTGTTTCAATATCCAAGAAAACAGGTTTTCTTAATCTTAGAAATTCTATATATTTTCTACTTCAATGAAACAACTTGAAGAAATACAATTGTGATCATACATTCTTCTTATAGTATTCCATGTACCTGAATGATCAGTACAAAGATTAAAGAGAAGGTCAGCCAAACAATAAGATAGCTAGGCGTTCAATGACTATTTTCAGTAGTACTCTCCGTTTCAATTTGATTGTCTTACCTTTCTTTTTAGTATTCATTTCAAAAAATAATGTCTCTTTCCTTTTTTTGACAACTCTTTAGTTCTAACTTTCTACATAATAGGTTTAAGATCACCAGATTCAACTTTACTTTCATAAACTTGGTGCCTAGTCAAAACTAGACAAACAAATTAAAACGGAGGGAGTATCAACAATTAATGTTATCTTACTATCTGTTTTCTTATTCAAGAAATTGTAGAAACAGGTACCTTTTCATGCTGGACTAGTATCCAATCCTTGGTGTGCGGTGCCCCTTGTGGCGCACACTGATTTGGCTTCCGAATGCAGCAGGTACAAGAATACATTCCTTTTTTAAAAAACTTCAGATGCATCTTTCAAGATGCATAGATTTTTGGCTGATCAGATACTACACTACTTTCTCTTTCAGATCTAAGGGACAGCTGAGATTAAAAGCAAAACAACGATTTGTATTAGTTGGCTGGAAGACATGACAGTAAGATGATGAATATAAAGATATATAATGCATTCAATTCATGTTTAAGATGCTATACTGACAGTTAAAAGCAATCCGATATGACAACTTTCATGTTGAAGCACATACCTTATTAAACAGTTCTACTGGTGGATGCATTGGAAGCGTCCTATCGACTATAGAATTACAATCCTGTGGAAGGATAGGGCATAAGAGCCTCATGTAACAGCAGAGAAAGAAACTATACTTAATGGAAGATCGATAAAAGTAAGCTAAGCGATAGTGCATTACCATTGAGGTTATACTTCTTTCTCCAATGTTTTCACATATTCTAGTATCTTCGCTACTAGGGAAGATCTGTATGAAGACATGATATAGTTTCACAATTAGCATATACCATAAACTCTGAAAAGAGAATACAAAAGACAGCTCTCATGGTTAGATTGATGGTACCTTGTTGCATCTTAAAGCTTTTGATTTAATCGATGTTACAGAATTCCCCTGCTTCACAGCATTCTGAGTGTTTGGTCTGAGAAAACAATACAAACATAGGAATGCTTAAACCATCTGGTGAATCATAAAAGTAAAATGGATGATCTACAATAGTTGATTCTTTATTCCGGAAGGAGATTACAAATGATTCCCGAGGATATACTTTTGAAGAGATGATGTGAGTTTTTACAATAGTTAGTTCAGTTTAACCGAAAGACAAACAAAATACAACTTAGAATACGCAAAATTCTTCTCAATCAACTACTGGATAAGGACAGAAAAACCTATCAATCCAACCTTTTAAAATCCACAGAAGTGCTAAGTACCGCAGACTCCGCGTTTTGGCTGCTTGACAACTGCAATAGACCAACATAAAGATATTAGCTTCTACCAATTTATTTATATGTAGCTTCCAGAATTCATCATTTAGTTGTTTAGTTTTTAAAATATTCCGTAAAACCCTCTACATATACAGGCAAATCCGTATGTGTGAAACTGAGTGAGACTAACTAATAGTTGTATACATCACTTAAAGTTTCTGTGTTACAATTGGCTATATTCTATAAGAATGCTGTGGAAGGACAATGACCTACATTAGCAGATGAATTTCTCGAGGCCCTCTCCATAGTCTTCAACTTAAAAACCTAAAAACATGAAGCAGCAGATTGAAATTGGTAAGTATGCAACACAATTTCTTTCAAAGTCTTCATCGATTTAGCAGTAATGAGGAGAATTGCAGCAGAGGATAAAGCTATGTGTAGTTACATGAAACTCCGTTGATCTCAATGTGGACTTTGGATGAGGAGGTAATACAGGAGCTTTGAGAATCTAGAGAAAGCACAAAGAACGAGTCTTAGATGAGATATTTGAAGTAAATTATATGCTAATTCTGTTAAATAATTTTATTAAGTTTCGGAAGAGAGCAATATCTCAAACTACCAACTTTTGTGTTTAAGGGTTGAGGCTTTGAAGGTTGGCCTTTAGCTTTTGCATTTTCACTTGACTCTGAATCATTCTTACACCTGAAATTTTGTAGAAACAAATCAAAAGTTGATCATTCAACTGTTAATAAAGGGATAAACAACTTGAAGAATGACCGAATTAAATTCGTGAAACAATTTGAGCATCTATTCCCAAAATCCGTAAAGAGTGAGTAAAGTAGCCAAGGATGTGCTTTTATACCCTATGTGGGATACTATAGTTCTCAACTACGTACCTTCGTCTTAGCGCTCTCTGCATGGTTTCCAGTTGAGGATCTTTAGGAATAGTGACCTTCAATGAGTATGCGTCAAGTTAGATAAACTTGAAACCAGAATAAATATTCTACAAACATTACAACAAAAACAACTTTTAGCGGCTTTAATTATTGACACTAATAAAGAGTGCTAAAGTCTTTACCGGCATTAGTTAAGTGCCATTAGAACCAATGTCGCTAAAGGCTTTAAGGGACATATACAAAGAGTGACAATTGCCGCTAAAAATACATATTGCCGCTAATAGTCATTTTTGTTGTACTGAAACAGCAAAGGCAGATTCATGAGGTGTTAAATATAACATCTTTCAATGACGATTTTAATCATTCACGTTAGGCTTTTTTGGATATCTTGTGAATAGAAAACTTTGATTCTTTAAATGAGCAACATGGTTGGAAAGATTAAATGATGAAGAAAAAATATTTCAAGAGCTTACATATAAATGATAAGTTTTTGTTCTGTTAGCAAAAGCAGATCAACACAAAATGCTGAATTTTGTCACAAGCAACTCACTTGACTGCCTAACAAGCTTCACTGGGCTTGACCTTTTACACAAGATAAAACTAACTCAACCAAACCACCATCAGATACTGAAAATGTATCGACAAGTTCTTACATTATAGTTATGTTATTTCAATGTAATTTTCCTCATAAATATGTCACAGAACCTTACTGTTGTCGGCAAAAGAAAAAAGTGAAGATATTGTGTATGTTCCAAGGGGCAAGGAGTTTCAAAGCTTTTAGCTTCATTGGTATCTGACCATTACAACATCTGACAGGGACTTTTCTCAAGTAAACCGAGTTCATAGTGAACAAACTAATGTAATCCTTTGGAAACACCTTTTCAAGTCATCAGAACTCATAAAGATCTATGTAACAAAGGAGGTACAACATAAAAGCTTCCAATCTAAACTTGGAATACACAGGGGAAAAAAATATATCCTATGGACAGAGTTAAGGCAGACGGAACATTAAATTGACAAAGAAATCATTACATAGACTAGATCGGAAGTCATTCCCTTCTGTTTTAGGATAGCGTTAGAATCCATAGAGCAGTTTCAATCACACTATAACAGAAATAGTATCAACAAAGAGTAACTGATGCATGTACCTTACGCAGATAACCACTCTCTAGCTTTTGTCTTTTGGTAGCAAAATTAAAAGATACTGAAGAATTCCATGAGCTTCTCTCATCGGCCTTGTTTGGTGGTTTCTGGGACCTAACAATTGAGCAATGAGAAACATAGCAAAAGCTAAATACTAGCAGGTTTAGTCAAGTTAAATATGGTTCGATAAATAACCTATAAGTGAACAAGACTAACAAAGTGAACAGACAGGAACTTGACAAACATACACAAGCCTGAAGAGGAATTTTACAGTAATTTGATGTTTTTGGTTGAAGTAGTTAGAGATCAGAAATCATTTGGCAGAAATGATTGGAAGACAACAATTATAAAAGTTGCTTACGCAATATATCACCCTTGAAATAAATAAAAACTTCCAAAAGAAGTTGGAATATCTTTTGACCTACCTTAGTTTAGCCAAATGACTAGCAGTGGGATTCATTAAAGTTGAAACTCTAGGTTTGAAAGATCCGGTCTCTGAGTTTATCTTAGCTTTAGGACTTTCATAAGCCATTCGATCGATGGATAATGGTTCTGAATACGTAGAAACAGTACAAGTTTATGTTACACTCCTATATCAAAATAAAGGGAAAACTGAAAAACCTTTGCAAACATAGAACTATAGAGTCATTCCCAAATAATGTTGCTAGTGCCTAGTAAACTAACCTTCAATTTTCGATTTATAGGATGAAACAACAGAACCGGTGTGTATATTTGAGGAGTTACTGCTGCTTGATTTTGCAGTTTGTTCTTCTCGTAACCTGGAGGGACCAAGTGAACATTCTGCTGCTGCGGTCTCCTTCACCAGATTTAACTTTGCAACGAGAGCTAAGAAGTTCCAAAAGCAACAGAGGAGAAAAATTGAGGACAGTTATAAACCACAACAACATACGCACTGCAATCCAACAAGTGAGGTCTGGGAAGAGTACGATGTACACTGGCCTTACGACCTACCTTTATTAGGATAGAGAGTTTGTTTCCGATAGATTGTGAATTTAAAAAAGAGTTCTCTCTTTAATAATTTAAGCTTTTGATGTAGATGAGACAATTTACACAATTCAACACAGAGTTGTAACTTATTATGTTTCCTTAGAAGGTCATTTTTCAAAAACATTTTCACTATCAACCTGAAATGTCCCATATGAGCATTTTCATCTAGTAACTTTTGATTTTGCATAACACAAGATCATAATAAATTGACCTTTCTTCAACTTAAATAACCACAAAGTATTGAACGACTCATACACATTTTCTTCTTCTTCTTATTCCAAATTAAAACATTCTCTTTTTTTAAAAAAAAAACTCATCATCGCCTGAATGAAATACAAGAATATAATCTAGACAACTTGCACGCAAAATATTCAACCATAAAAAAAATTCATCTATGTTTGTATGTCTTACGAGAAGGCGGATAGTTGCCTGCAGTTTCAAACCAACGTTGGGCTTGTGCAGCCTGAAAAGGTGACTCCGGGATAGAGAAATCATAGAAAAACGCTGCATCATACTCGTATTCCCAGTCAAATTCTTGCAATTCATCCAAACATTCAACACTGAAATCATCCATTTCTCCTTCCATTTGCAGAATCTCCTATGTATTCCAAAATGCAAAGTTTTTCTAATCACCAGAAATTCATATATATAATAATCATAGGTTCTTATTTCCTTTTAAAAAAATTGAAATGTGGTAGAGGTGTATATTTGAAAGTGACGTTTTCATGGAGGAAGGTGAAAGTAAAACGTCAGTTTAATCGTAGCGCCAAAACGTTAGGATATCACCGTACATTTTAATTTGTTTGTAAGGTTCTAACTTGATACCAGATTTTAGCAATTAATAAAAATATTCATAATTAGTATAAAAAATTGTGATTTATATTCTGCAAGATTAAAATAAATTCCTAAATATGACTTTCAATACTACGTGTTACCAACTAAATCAATATATTTATTATTATTTACTCAAAGTTACATAAGAAAAGCATTTTATAAAATAATTAGATTAGCTGTTGGACTGGATAAACGGAACCGATAAGCAATGGATGGAAGAAGAAAAGTGAAAGAATAATTCTACAAAAATAGTCAGACCAGGATATTCCTAATCTTGTCTTTAGAACCTGAAATAGACACAATAATCCCACAAATTTTTTTATCACCCAGAGGCCGGAGCATTGATTGATATGGTACAATAGATACTGAAATTAATATATTTGAGCTATATTTTAAATTCTTTTAATATTCAATATGATATTTGATATTTATAAAAATAATATTGAATATCATATCGAAGTATTATTTATATATGTTATTATGTTACTAATAAATTTATATCTTGTATTAGTATAAAAATTATTTAGATGTTGAAATTTTGATTACTTTATCGGAATTGAAATTTTCTTTTGTGTAATTTAGTTAACGAAAAGAATTGGTTGTTTTGTCTCTTACACAGTTCTACATGTTTAAGTAGTATGATATAATTAAGAGATTTCGTAAAAAATTGAAATCAAAATTATCTATTTATGTGATATACGTAAGTCAAAGTTTAACAAGTTATAATTTCTGATTAATCATAGCAAAACATCGAAATCGAATTTAAGCCTATCAAATCATACCACACAATTTGATATGATGATGATTATCGAATCAATATTTCTATGTCGTCTTCTACCATAACATGCCCACCCCTAACTTAGAGGCTAGGTGAGTATATTCGTGTTCCAACCAATAAATTAAAAATTTGAAATAGGCAGAAAAAATAAAAAAAAGCTTAATTTTTTTTTAAAAAAAATATCCAAGGCCAAAAAATATATTGTGTGTAGTTAAAAAATTTAATCCGTTCATTGTACTTAAAGTATTTGACTATTTCTATCTCTGAATAAAATGAATATACATGTCGTTGGAGTAATGGTACCTCAAATGTGTATAACCTCATGTTGTAATGTTTGTAGCTGGGAGAGAAATTTGCTAGATTTGATCCACTGGCTCTTTTTTACTTCTTCTTGGATTTCTGGTCTCTATTCTGAATTTTGAGATTCCTAAATATAGTTGTAGGATGAAAAATTGTGATGAGAACAAATCTTTTTGACTAATCGAATTGAAATAACATGAGCATATTTAATCAATCAAAATATGTCATTTGTACACGTGACATAATTTCATTTGCCTCTTAATTGACTAGGTATGCCACGACATTTGGCAAGTGGCATAATATAATTGGCTCTTTCACTTGGTGTGACACGTCATATGTCGCGTGATATATACGTCATATGTCGTGATACAAAATTCAGTATTTTGAATAAGATATCAATATTGACTCTTTTCTCCGAAAAAGCACAATATTCTCAATATTATTCAAATAAAAATTGACTACATCGAAAATAAAAGATGGGAGGATAAACCCCTATTCCATCGGCCTAAACGTAAAAACAACCACCTAACTAAAGCTTAAGCAACTTGATTTGTTGATTTTCTATTTAGAGAAGCAAATATTTTATTGGAATAAATTAATGTATCTTGAAATTAAAACACATCCTATATTTTTTATTGAAGTTTTACATGTTCTTACACTTATTTTTATGTGCTTTAGTGTTCTAGATTGTTTTATAGGTTTTAGATGTCCAAATAGACAAAAGGAGAAAAAAAATTAAAAAAGAATGCAAGAAAAAGAGTGATCTATGATCATAGATCAAATCAGATCATAAAAATATCAGAGAGTATATTAATAAGACTAGAGATGGTCAAGTCACGAGGCAAAATACAATCATAAATTTCTCCTGTAATAAGTGAACAATTTAGTTTTAATTTTTAGTTTTTGCACATTTGTTTAGATATTTTTGGACAAGTTTCAAGGTTTTTTCTTTCTAGCTTGTTGATCAAAAATCACCATCATTCCTTCCAGCTTTAATATTTAAGGTAAGTTTATAAGTTGTCTTAACTATTATTCTTATTGTTTACTCTTAAGTATAAGTAGCTAAATTTTCTATTAAGATTGTGAAATTCAATGTAGTGATAATGTTCATAAGACTTGTGTGTGACATAATATTATGATTGTAAGATATCAAACTTCTTTCTTGTTGTTCTTAATCATTGTAAGGTTGTGAATATTAACCTTCATTATACTATCTTAATTTTGCTTGAGAGGATTAAGATTTGGTAGAAGAAGTTTTGTATTAACTCGATGCTCCAAATAAATACCTTTGTTTGACAAATTATCGTTAGGAATAATTGAATTTACTTGGTATATATAATCGATTGCTCTTATTCAAATGACTCATGTAGTTATAGAGTTATCATAGAGAGATAGATAATTCAACTCTAAAAAAAGATTAAATGATCGTGCAAGATTAAATGTGTATCTCTGAATATTTATAATAGTACGAAAACCAACAAACTATGTAGCCCATTAATGAGATACAACTTTATTACTTTACTCAACAAAATTGAGATACAATCTCAAGTATTATTTAAAATATTTCCTTCAAGGATTGATGAACTAACTAATTATCTCTTTCAATTACCACATGACTATAAACAAAGCCGCTCTTCAACTAAATGAGAGCTTCCAAATACCTATAATCTCTGTAAATAATTAACTAAATACTTATTTGAGAACCTTTCTTTGCCACCACTAAAATTCTTCAAGTAGCGCATATCAATATTTTCAATCCAACAACATCACTATAAATATTAAAGCTAATAAGTGTTTTATATATATATTTTCTCTATTTTAAAATAAGTGAATTGTTGGGACTTTTTTTATAGTTCATATTATCTTAATCGTTCAATCTCCAAGAATAATTTTAAAATTTTCTTTCATTTTTGTCCTTCATTGGGATTTCATGTGTGATAAGTTTAAGAAACTCTAACTTCTATGAAGTATTGAGAATGTAATAGTATGCAAATCACACTGGGAAAGTAAATCGAATTAGGCAGGCTCTATGGAACATACTCGACTCAGAAGGGGTCAATCCCGAATTATCTATGTGGATATATAACCACCTTCCAAATCAACTGAGTCATCCCGAAGGACTTTTAGAAGTCATTATCATAATTAATATTTAGTTATTCTAAGGAGTAATTTGACAATAATTCAAAACGATAAATATGGAAAGTAGTGTACAATTAATGTCTTAGAGCTCATTTGGATTGAACTCAATCTTAAATTTAAAAGTCAATCTTAAATATCTTTAAGTCAAAAAATAAAAAAGTAGGGACATTGCTATTTTTGTTTTGAACTTATTTTAAGTCATCTTAAATTTATTTTAAGTGATTTTTAACTTTTTCAAACTCTCCCAAAAGCTAAAAATTAAATTAAAAGCAGGTTTGACCAACTTTAGCTAATCCAAATAGGCTCTTAATATTCTTTTCTTTAAAAAATGTTTAATACTATAACAATTCACTTATTTTGAAATGGAAGAAATATTTAATTTTATTCTTATTTTATTTTTATCATTTAGTAAATTAATTTTCAGTGAATGAAAAACTCTTTTTGCTTCCAAGTTCGAACATTGTTTACAAACTTGTTCTTATTTCATATTAATTGATCACCTTTATTAAATTAATAAAATATTAATTGATATCGTTGCAATTAATTTTTTTTGAAAGTGTTCAGTGTCCATACTTGTCTATAAAGTTCCATAGAAGTTCTTACGCAGTGAATTGGTAAAACTACTCTCTTATTATGTTATGTTAATATATGTGTAAAAAGAAAAGTAATTAACTTAAATAAACAAAGAGAGTAGTGTGTTTTACCAAGTAATGAATTATTATTTTCATTGACGTGAAGACATCGTACATAAGAATTCATTTGTTATTCACCAATTAATCATAAGTCAGCAATAACCCTCTCAAAGTTAGTATGTATTTTAAGGAAGTTGATGAATAGCTCCAAATAAATTTTCAAAAGCAATAACGTGAACTGATACATACTACTTTGAGAGTTCACGAGTCAGTATACACTTATGTAGCACGTCCATATCCAATTTAACGTGAACACCCTTATTGTAACACATTTTTTTCTTCACATACTGAGTGTAATACAAAGTTCAAACTTGGATAAAATGATAAATTCTATATATCAATCAATGAATTATCTTTCCTCATTTCATTCTTCTACCATAATTATTTCATAACGGATTGGATGAAATTGCAACTAAGTAGGAATATCATAGTTTTGGGTAAGATTTTTTTATTCGCTCGAAATAAAATAGTACATCATTTTTTATCCATTAAGCTTTTTTTCAGATTTTATCTTACACGAACATTTTTTCTTACTTCTTCCCACCATTGATTGGCAAGATTAAAATACTAAAGCCCCTTTTCATTATTTTATTTTAAGTTTAGTATGAAGCTTATATTTTGAGTTAAAGGTAATATCGATACACTTGAAATCTTCAAATAAATTGGACTCAGTCAAAGGACTAGTATAACAAAGAAGGGATATTATTTAATTTCATATTTATTAAATTTGAAATAATTAATTCAATTATATTAATTCGTAATAATTATTTGAACTAATACTTGAATTTTATATAATTTAAATTTCATGTGGAATGAAATTCAATAAATTTTTGTTATGCATGATGTACCGAGTCTCTCCAATCATTATAACTAACCAAGGACGAAGAATTTGGGCTAGAAAATGTTCCAGATAATGACTTAATTTTTTTTTTGCTACGCCAGCCTCAAACGAAACTTGGGGTAGATATAATCTAGGGTCATGTTGGAATGGGTAGAGTGAAATGTCTAGGTTTGGTTGTTATTTTTATTGTACCCAAGAC